ACGAACGTCCCATCGCTGCCCAGTCCGTCCAAGCGTAACGGCGTAGGTTCGTGAAGTTCGGGGCCATCCGCTCCCAAGCCCACGGTGCGGGGTGACAATGGCAGCGGATCCTTTGACCGAAAGTTTAAGCACCTGCTTCTTGACAGATAACAGCACGCTGACGTCGCGAATTTGATTTCTTGATAGGGATCTGTCTGTATGACTCGCCAAGCGGCTCCCACACCCGACAGCGGCGATATGCGTCATATTACGGGCGTGATTCCCTCCCCCTTTGGGAACGTGATGCCGTTTCCACATCCCGAGTACTCGTGGACAGCTGCGCATGTGAGTATTCTTGCCCTTGTCAGGTGATCCGTCGACTACGCCTTGCTCCGTTCGTTTCATATGCCCAAGGCCCTCCGCGCGGTATCGTACACAGGCGGGGTCTTGTAACCTCACTGACTAGCTACAATGGCGGTGCTTGGAATTATTGTGCTTCTGGTAGGTCTGAGGTACGAAAACTTGACTAACAGATTGATACTAATCTGGCTCGATCCCAGGCGATCTTGGGAGTTGTCGCCAAGTGCGTTTACAACGCATTTCTACACCCACTTCGCCACTATCCTGGTCCGAAGCTGGCTGGAGTTACCCGCGCTTACTATCTCTGGTACGATGTCCGTGGGGTAAGTCACTGGAAGGTCAAGGAATGGCACGAGAAGTACGGCGAAGTCGTCCGAATTGCGCCGGGCGAGCTCTCGTATACTTCCAGTCAGGCCTGGCAGGCTATCTATGGTTTGTTTTCACACCCATTAGTTGAGTCTTTACATTAGCTAACATGAATCAGGCTTTCCCAATCGGGAAGGTAATGGCAACTACGAGAAGGACGCCCAATGGTGGAACAAGAATGTCAATGGTGTTGAGAATATTCTCACTGCCGACGATGCCGGTCACAAGCGTATGCGTCGGCTCCAGAACCCAGCCTTCTCCGACAAGGCACTGAAGGCCCAAGAGTCCGTCATCACCGGCTATGTCAACCTTCTGGTTCATCAGCTTCACGGCCAAGTCTCAAGCCCCGACACATCGTTGGTGGATATGAACTCATGGTACAACTTCACCACCTTCGACATCATTGGTGATCTGGCTTTCGGCGAACCCTTCTATTGTCTCCGGGATGCACAATGGCATTGGTGGCTGCACGCCGTTTTCGACATCTTCCAGGCTGGCACCTACCTCCGCGCCGCTCGTCGTTTCCCTTCCCCGTTGTCTGAGATGCTGCTGCTTCTCATTCCCCGCCGCCTCATCAAGACGAGAGTTGCCCAGTTCAACTTTGGTGTTGAGCGCGTGAACAAGCGGTTGGAGAAGAAGACTGAACGCCCCGACTTTAGTAAGTGTCTCGCCCTCGGTCATCGTGAAGAAGCTGCTGACCGACGGTGTAGTGTACTACGTTCTCCAAGGGACTGACGAGAAGGGCATGACCATGGAAGAAATCTACGCCGCTGCCCAGGTCCTCATCGTCGCTGGAAGTGAGACCACAGCCACAGCACTCACCACCGCGACCTACTACCTCTGCGAGAACCCCGACACCTTGGCAAAGCTGACTGCTGAGATTCGCGACACATTCGAAAAGGAGGAGGACATCACCATCCAAAGCACGGCCAAGCTCAGCTATCTCAACGCCGTCATCGAGGAGGCTCTTCGGCTTGGTCCCCCGGGTCCTGGCACTTTCCCTCGAGTCGTTCCTGATGGTGGAAGAACCGTATGCGGCGAGTTTGTTGCTGGTGGCTACTCCGTCGGCGTGCATCACTTATCCGTCAACCGCTCCCCGGTCAACTTCCGCGAGCATGATGGTTTCCACCCCGAGCGCTGGCTTGGCGATGAGCGTTTCGAGTCAGACAAGAAGAGTGCCGCTCAGCCGTTTTCCTTTGGCCCGCGAAACTGCATTGGCAAGAAGTAAGTCATGACCTAGTTCCTAGATGTTGTTATCGGTGTGAGATCTGACATGTATGCAGCTTGGCATACGCTGAGATCCGCGTCATTCTCGCACGTGTCGTATGGAACTTTGACATGAAGTTGCACCCTGACAGTGCGGGATGGCTGGGAAGGCAAAAGATGTTTACCACGTGGCATAAGACTGAGATGAAGGTTCATCTGTCTGCTCGTGCGAGGTAAAGGTCTTTCGTCGGAGGCTTCTATCGGCTGTACTTAGCCAAGATGGAGCAGTCTTGCAACACCTGACTGCACAATGTAACTTTAAATGAGAATAAATGATTGACAGCATTACATGCATAGACGTGAGTGTAGAAGACTGGGACCGGTTCAAGTGTTATTGGAGAGAAGGATCAACCGGAGTACATGTGCTAGGCCCGTCCACCATTTTCTGCGGCCAAGCCAGCCACTCACTCCAATATGTGCCAAGATGAGCTGATATGGACTGCACAAGAGCCTTGCCAGCATTTGCATATGCCCAGTACTCCCTTGACAGATGCAGGAGAACTGCCCAGTAGGCGAGTACCACCAGCGCCTCCGGGCGTCGCTGGTCTAACAAGTTGACATACTCCGTTGGAACTCTGATGGACCATTCCTGCACAGTCGCCCGCCGTCTGCCTGGGGTGATTCCGGGCTTATTTTGCACGTCAAACATGAGCTGCAGTGCATCAATCGCTTCGCCACATGCCGAACGCGTTGACTCGCCGAGATCGCTTTTGTCGAAAAGCTCCACCAAACCCGCGCATTCGGTGCCCCTTTCTATCGCGTCTGGCTCGATGATGATACTATCCACAAACGGTGAATCTGGGCCTAGATGCGCCACAAGGTGACCTCGTAAGATGCTCCAGGATCCAGCGACGATGGTGCGAATGCCACGGTGGAGGTTCATGCAGTGCACTAGCTTATCCAACACTGTCGCGAAATTGCCTTGGTGAATGAAGGTGTCGAACAAGACATGTTGGCCGAGCCAAGTCGAGTACAGAAATATTGCCAAGAAGTTGTCGTTCGAAACCTCAGCTTTGGCGACATTGAACTGCGATAAGGCTCTTGTTTGAAGTCGTGTTGCTTCAGCTCGGTAAAATGCTTGGTCCTTTCCAGGAAGGGTGCTCATGTGAGCGGCTGATAAGGCCAGCAGTTCGTCCATGAGATATGGCGTGCCGAGTGCTTGCTTGATGGACATCCGTTGAAACTTTTCCCGCGTCGAGTCTCCAAACTCCATCTCGGCCCCTAGCTCGTGCTCAAAATGGAAGAGCAGCTCCATATGGAGAAGGTCGTAAGGCTCTGTTGGTGGGTACTGTGGCCGGTACAAGGGTTGCTCGATTGGGATAGGGCCAGCCGCTGCAGCCGATGACTCTGTTGATGCAGCTGGGCTCGGGCATTGGTACATGAATGCCGATGGCGAAGGTAGAGTCGTTTCGGTGTCGAGATATGAGCACCGCCGGAGCGCCGTCGAACAGTTGACGCATGACGGGCGGCTCTCGTCGCATTTCACGTGGCGCTGTTTGCACTCCTTGCAGCCGAACCGCGATTTCCGATGCGGCGTTCTCTGACGCATCTTCCTGGACAGTACTGAGTGACGAGGGTACGATGCAAAGAACTGAATCCGAAATGAAGATCGCAGAACGCGAGTTGTTGCAAACTTTCAGGCAACGGGAGCAGTGGTGGTCGCTCAAACTTGGAGGATCGACGACGTTGAATCAAAGTGCAGATTGAATGAAGGGTCCAGAATGTTATCCCCGGCAGGACAAACCCAGGCACTCCTTTAAAGTCTCCAGATGATCCACGTCGTCGGGAGCCAAGCCACCCCGGTGCCGCCGGTCCTAGCCTGCATTCCCCAGATCCATGCACTGTGCTCGCTTAGACCAAACAACTTTACAAATCCTCACGTAGAGAGTTCTCAATCAACTACGGGACTGATTTAATGTAAGAGATCATATTTAAGTCGATGGCAGCATATATGAAAATAATATGGAAAGATTAGCTATTTAGGGATATTGTGTTCTTGGTGCGATAGGCATTAGTGCGTCTTCCGTTTGGATGCAACTACACATTGGATCAGCGCATCAGGCTAAGACGGTAATGACTCTAATCATGGCCAATGGAATAACCCTATGCTAGCAATAGGCACATATCGTCATATTATAACCAGATCACCAAGGTGAACTCTAAGAGTATTGAACTTCTTTTGTGTTGAAGCACAGTTCGTAATTCATGAAGTTTTACTGGGTAAGATGACGCCAGGTCCATCGCAAGGCAGTGCCTGGTGGATCGAAGTCGTCGTATTTCAAGATCCCGCGTATTGAAAATTGAGCGATTCGCAGAGCATTCCAACCGTATTGCTAACCAGTCGGAATTGTTGGAATACGGGTGGGGTCTTTGGCGCTAGTCTCCTTTTAGGCGCCGATCTCACAGTGACTTGTGTGCTGTCTTAGCGATGTTCTTGTCTAGTTAGGTCAGGCGGCAAAATTCAAGTCGAAATTGAATTTACTGAATGTTCATCTCAGGGGAAAACAAACTTGGAGGGAAAAAAAACCACGAAAAACTACGTACAGGTTCGTCAAACAGGCAAAAGAATTTGATTTCGCCCGGACTTGAACCGGAGACCTTCAGTGTGTTAGACTGACGTGATAACCAACTACACCACGAAACCATCTTATTCGTTGCGGGTCCACCGGAAATTGGACATTGAGTTGCTCGAGGGGCCGCTCGTGTCTTTCTCAATCCTGGAGAAAATTCAAATTTTGATGTTCAAAATCATCCTATTCACCGCGCCTCAGACCAGAGATTGTCCAGCCTGTCCCGCTGAAGTCAAGCACTCTCGTTCATCTGATTGCTTCTTCGATGCGAACTCCACTGTGAGTTTGCGGGTGCGGCCGTCGACAGCTGGCTTTCCCGCCAAGATCACGATTACTCAGCCGGACCTGTCCAGTCGGCTCCTCGCGTGCTTTGTCGGCATTCGGAGCGTCGCGTTCAGCGAGCGAGCCACCAGGAGTCTTTGACCCTCACGACCCATCAGATCATCACATCAATCCCTCATGTCCAATACTGAAGCCGACGAGACCACCTCGCTTCTTCCGACTCAATCACCCAAGCCCGATACCGTCGAGGACGAAGAAGAAACCATGAGCGGCCAGCTGTACTGGAAGGTCGGAGCTGTCTTCGGCGCCACCGCCGTCGGCTTCGGAGCCTTCGGGGCCCACGGCCTCAAGAACCGCATTTCTGATCCCGCAAAGATCGCCAGCTGGACGACCGCAGCCCACTACCAGGTAAATACTGTTCCTCGAGACTATCATCTCAGTCTGAGGAATTCGTCCGATGAATACTGACGAAAATTAGCTCGCACACTCGATCGCTCTGCTCATCGCCCGCCAAAACCCCGTGGCTGCCGGTTTCTTCACCGCTGGCATGACGATGTTCAGCGGCAGCATCTACGCCCTCATCCTCAACCCCGACCTCAAGTTTCTCGGCCCTGTCACTCCCATTGGTGGTCTCGCTTTGATTGCTGGATGGCTAGCTCTCGCCTTTACCAAGGGACGTGTCCGCTTCTAAGTGCACGTTGCCTTGCGAGAGTTGTCTCCCTTGCTCTCAACATGTACTTCTACTTGTATCACATCACGTTATGCCACCACGCCCGCTGCAATAAAAATTCTCTGCTCCCCAATGGAAGTCTCACTATTGTAACAAAAACCTGTTACGTTACTTGATGGCCAGAATTATTTGGCGTCACCCTCTGTTGCGCTTTGTCATCATTTATCCTGTGGTCTCTCATCCTAAGGTAGTGAAGCTACACATCATCACTCCAGTCAGGGAATACCCATTCAAACAAGGTCTTCAGTTTACCCATCCGCAATCCAGCTGCTTGGTTGCTAGGAGGAGGATAGTTGAGTGATGCCGTGCCAACACTATCAGACGCCTTCGTTGTGCAGTCGCTCGAGGCACTGCGGTCGCACTACTCGGAGTACTCTCAAATGAGTCTGTCCTCGACTCGACAGTGTCTTGTTGAAAACTCAAGACATATCGTCGCGCGATTCCGGCGAACTCGGATATGATGCCGCCTGGCAATGCTCCTTTCGATGTGGAGTCAATCACGCCAAAGTATGGAGAAGCTGCGTCCAAAAGCGCAAGATTCTCTTTGGTTACCGCATGTTGCAGGTTCTGAATGACGAGGTCGGAAAGGATGAAGAATGCCGACAACGGTATTGTTCCAGATATGCAAGAACAACGTCGCCGACGGGTTAGCACAATAGTTGGATCCGGATGAGATTGATCTACGCCTGTAACCAAGTTACAAGATGGGAGCATAGGGCTCAAAGTCAATGAAGACAACGAACTTCACCTGCACACCATTCATGAGGTTTACCTTGCACCCCTCACGATGTGTCACTTCCTCTCGACTGGTACGGATGGACAGTCTTTCCAAGAAAGTACAACGCTTTAGTATTCTTGGTTGGTTTACAGAAGCACCGCTTTCAAGTTGGGTATGAGGTCAAAGTCATGCCGCTCAACTACTTTTTCTAGTCTGGACGCTGAAGGGACGGACACCCGCCAACCCTCCAAAAGACGTCGAACGTGGGCGGCGGCCATCGCGATCTTCGGTTTCAACGGGGTACTGATCGAGAAAAGCGATGACATTGATGAGATTCTGGCAAGGCGGATAGCAGATTTAAACCAGTAGTAGCCCTCAAAAACGGACCCTAAGGTCAAAGGCATCACGGAGTCAATGTCGTCGTCTGCCAGGACCCTGAACGGAAGCAATCATTCATGTTCATCCTCTTCCCTTCGCTCTTGCCTCTCTCGTCGTTTCGAGAGGCACAATACTCCGATGATAACAACCTAGTATTCTCAACGACTTAAGCTTGGACCAAGCGAAGCTGAGCTTTCGCAACAACCTGAAGTCTGGACTCTAAGGAAGGAGCCCCCCTTCCCGTCCCCCGTCCTCCCATCCTTCCAGTGAGAAATTCTCAACTTACCCTCAATTCATACCTTCCACGACACCACAACAAAACGTCAGCCTCCATTCATCAACGCCATCACTTCCACTACCCCCTTTCTCTTCCAAGATGCCTTGTGTCCAGGATCTGGTCTTCGAGTGTGATCTGGCTTACGAGCCGGTCTGGAACGTCAACACGCCTGTTTCGCACATCCATCTCCACGCGGAAGGTACTAAACGCACTCTACCCAAGGCGTATGCGACCAAGCCACACTTTCCCTACTGCCAGCTCCTGCCTGAGCTTCAAGTTCAAGTCAACAGCTATCTCACCAAGAAGGATCTTGTAATGCTGTCTAGCACTTCATCATCAATGAGAGCCGACTTGATGGTCAAGGTTTTTGGTACCATTTGCATCGCTGGGACCGTTTCAGAGGTGTTAAGAGAGATTCAAGATTTCAACGATAGGCCTCACATTGTGAAGGACGCGAGGTTAGTACTGGATTTTCTTCCATCAAACATAGGCTGACGTCTGTTGAAAAGATCCCTCAAGATCGCACTTCACTCTGAAGATTTCGCATCCATGGATCTCCCGATTTGTGCACCGAGGCAACAGACATATCTCAAATACCGCGGTCTCGGAACGCATCTTGGCTACGCTCTGACGTCTATGGCACCGTTTATCGAGGAACTCATCTTGTCGATCAGTGGTGCTGACCACATGAATAGGATCGAACGTCTTGTGCGAAGTCTCGTTTATGCAACCCCTTCTTTGTGTTTCGAGAAAATGAAGACATTGCGGCTCAGGCTTGGCGATCGCAAGGCGGGGTCTCTGCTGGGTGAATACTTGATTTCCCGGTGCCCTTCCACGAAAACACTTTTCTGGTGGGACCCTGCGAACTACGACAACAAACTCATTCGAATTAACGGTCCCTTTCGAAGCGATACTTTGACATCTTTCACTTTGGGAAATACGAAGATGACCTATAAGAGCACCTTCATACGCACCATTCTTCTGGCGTTCCCGCAATTGGAGCGATTTGCCATGTTTGGTAGCATTCACGACGACACAGTGGATGAGTTGGCCCATTACGTTGACAATATAAGGCTTGCCCCCTTAACATCTGAAGTAGTGACTCAGTGAGCTAACTTGCCTTCCGTAGGGGGTCCTTGAGTTCGGAAGATGCCTCAAGATGTTATCTATACCGATGGGAGGTTTTGAACACGCCCAGGAGTGGGCACGTATTGCCGGCTTCTTTCTACGCTCACTACCAACATTGGAGCAGATTCAGTTGACTCCGTGGAGGGTCTTTTGTATCGATCATCTACTCGTTGCCCGAAATGTCAAGGTGCAGATAGGCTCTTCCGACGTCGATTCCAACATCACCTACTGTCGGGTGCCGGTGGAGGAGTCACTGCAGAGACGGCCGTTCAACTCCTTCAAGCTCCCCACTGAAGGCTCTCTCGCGGAGGACGATGCCAACTGGAACCCGATTTCGGACATCACGATTGAAACAGGTCTTTTCCACAACGACGTAGACAACAGAGACAATCGAAGACGATTGGAGGCAACGGTGATGGCGAGGCCATTGGAGAAGGGGTCAAAGCAGTTGTTCCAGATCGGGGAAACAGGACTTGGGGTGCGCCCATTGGGATTGTGTTCCAGACCTGTACTGAGCTCATCTACAACTTCGCGAGCACTGCGTCAACACCGCTAACACTGACTTCCTTCGGGACCTCCTCCTTCTCCGCATACACAATCTTTCCGTTGTCAATCACGAGCGCATACCGCGCACACCGTTCGCCCATCGTCCATCCGATCTGCTTGCTGAACGCCAGCTCGCCGTCGCTGAGGAACAGGATCTCCTCAGGGCTGTTCTTGACGTTGTTGGCCTTGCTCCAGGCGCTCATCACGAAGGCATCGTTGTACGCGATGCATGCAACGATGTCGACACCCTTGGCGACGAGGTCCTTGCGCTTCTCAATGTAGCCGGGGAGGTGGCGGGCGGAGCAGCCCGGGGTGAAGGCACCAGGGACGGCGAAGAGGACGACCTTCTTGTTGGCCCATTCGGCGGAGGCGTCGTAGGATATCGGGAGGCCACAGGCTGTGAGGGATTCGGTTTGGGGGTCGTAAGGGACGTAGCTTGGGGCTTGGTTAGTTCTCTGTCGTCAATGGGTCGAAGGGAGGGGCTTACGTGAATTTGGTGCCGGAGGGCAGAGAGTCGCCGACTTTGACCATGGTGACAGATTAGAGATCAGAGAGAATCAGAAACTGTATCTGGGTAGTATCAAGGGATTTGGAGAGGAATTGATGCTTCTGGCGACGTGGACGGCTTGTCGATGGCAGTACATCAATGTGACGAATGGTGTTGGTTGAGAGAGGGGAAGATTTGAAATCGATAATGTGCTACAATTGGCGTCATTGGTTTGACCTCGGCTTCAGTTTCCCCGCCTCCTGCAAAGCTCCGACCAGAAAGATGGATTGGGGAAAAGCAAAGTTGCAGCTGGGACCCACATTCCAGGAGCCGGACATGGAGTTTTGGTTGAGCTTCTTGCGTCATGGGCAGGGAGCTAGCTGTAACCTTATTCTGTGGGATACTTTGAGATGCTGGGGTTCGATTAGAGATGATAGCACAGAGGTTCACAGAACATTTGCTTGTATTTGATTTCATTGTGCTACGTGCAACTGCAATGTAACGCCATGAAGCAATTTTCGAATTTGGATAGCAAAATCTCCAATCTTGTTGTGCTTCTTAAACTGCTTTGAAGGCATTGTGAGACAACCAAAGCCCGCTGAAAACGAGACTCAACGTCGATTAACGCCAAGGATGTCATAAAAGGCTGCCTTTTTAGCCGGCACGACGATCCACAAAGTGATGCCAAAGAAGGCACAACGGGATATGGATGGCCCTCGATGGGTATGCGCGAGGCCTAGCCAACCAAGCGCCTCCGAGAGGGTTCCAGAGTCAGTCGCAGAGAGGATTACGAACCTCCGCCGGGCGTGGTAGCCGTAATTAAACACCCACACTAGAGGGATCTTCCTCCCTTGCCCACATCCCATGACCAGTTAGCAAATCCCCGCTTCGTGAAGCAATTCCTAAAAGCCGAAATCAGTCACCTCGATGGACACAAGAGGTCTAGATCGTGGGAAGAAGTCGCCCGGAGAACAGCACAAGGGCACCAGGTTCTGGGCTGCCACTGGGTCTACACTTCTAAGTTAGACAAGGCAGACTCACGAAGTTCAAGACACGCCTCGTTATCCGGGGAGACCAGCAACCCAAGGACACACGAGAGACGTACGCAGCTAGGCTCGCAGGTATGTTATTCCGAATCCTGACAGCTATCGCTACCCGGTTCGATCTGGAGTTACTACAATATGATGCTGTGAACGTGTTCGTACACGCAGAGCTTGATGAGACTGTCTTCATGGGTCTTCCACCAGGCTATCGCGTGCCCGGACGAGTCCTGCGCCTAAGAAAGGCGCTTTATAGGTTGAGAAGGTCTCCGCTCTTGGCAAGGCCATTTGGAGAAGGGTCTTGTCGATCTAGGATTTACGCACGTAGCTGGAGAGAACATGGTGGTGAACTGGTGGTCTGGACGCCTACTGAAGGGGCTGGTTACC